TATAAAATAAATAGCATTCACTTGCTTTTCTGGCTTTTAGAATAAGATAATCAACTTAGGAAAATTAGATAATCAACTTAAGAAAATAAAAGCTCTCTATCCAAATCTCACAGTACTTAAAAATCTTTATGATGTTTCCTACCAACAGTTTTATGTCAACAAATACTTCTAGAATGACTCTTGTGTTGAAGGCACAAAAGTCTAAAATAGACAAAAGTATAATGTAGCTAGATTTATTTTTGAAACTCCACTACACCCAATTCAAGTCCCTAAACAAACATAGTTCCTTCATATTGAGTTTTGTGTACCCAGGACCCTCCATTAAATATATCATTCATTTCTGTAGTGGTCCTTGCTCCAAATTCTGCTCCATGTCTTTTTCACACCAAACTTTTCTTTCCAGTTTACCATTCTAATAAGATCCAGAACTTTGTTAGGAATTCATTCATTTCACTTGCTTCTCTCTTTTTTTTTCATTCATTTACGAATTTTTTGACTTTCTACCACGTATTGAGTATGATTCTAGGATTTGGATATAATGGTTATCAGGAAAAAATAAGTTGCCTTTCATCATAGAAAAATGAGAGGAGAAAATCTATCATCAATTTTAAAATTGAATAAATAAATAAAATGAATAACAATGATCATTTCAAGTAAGTGCTATGAAAACTGTACACTGAGTCAAATAATAGAAAATAATGAAAGCATTTATACATTTATTTCTATACATCAGCTAAATCAATTAGGAAATATAATTTTTAAATATTTATAATAGCTACAAATATAAGTCACTTAGGAATCCAACTTGACAGGAAAGACCTTTACTGAGAAAATTTCTAAACTTAATTGACTTTTTAAAAAATGTAAATAAACTATTTTTATTAATGGAAATAGTTAATGTTGTTAATAAAATGTTAATACCTCCCAAATTTATCTATAAATACAATGTAATTCCACCAAAATTACAGCAAGGTTTTCTACGGAATTGATAATTGGTAATTATCTTAAAATTCATTTGCAAGAGCAAAGGGCTAAGAATAGCCAAATAATTTCCAAATAATTTGGAAAAAGAACAAGTTGGGGAAACACCTCCAACAAAGTACCAAAGCTCATGGTAGTCTTTGCAGTTTGGTGCTGTCCTGAAGCCCAATGCCAATGGCCGCTTAAATTTCCTGGATGGAGTAGGTTGTGACAGACAAAGGTTTTGTGAAAGACAAAAAGCACAGCTAGAAAATCCAAATAAAATACAACAAAAATCTTTTAAGAGCATCAGAGATTTGCTAACAAAGACTGGAGGCACTGATTTCAGACCAGGAGACCTATAGAGAGATGAGCTGATGTTATGAAAGCAACTTTTTCCTGGGGCCATCCATTGATTCCGGGCCCAGGTCTAGGGCTGAAAGTCTGGACTTTGCCCAGGCAGAGGCCAATTTTTGGGAAACAGTGTAACCAGAAGAGCTTTTGGTGGCCCTGCAGGGCTAGAGAGACGAAATTGGAGAATTGAGGGATCAAGATCCAAGTGAGAGGAAGCAGTGGGGGAAATGAGCCTCAGAGATGCCCATTTTGTACTCAAGTTATTTGTTTAATTTTGAAGCTGTGAGGGTCAGGATGCTACGAAAACCTAGCCTGAAAGGTTCTGGAAAGCAAAGCAGAGTTTTCAGCAATTTCAGTGCTAAAGCAGTAAGGATTGGAGTTCAGGGAAAGGGCCCAATGAACACACCTGGGTCTCATTGGAAACCCGTGGAAGTCTATACAATAAGATCAGGTGACGCAGAGGTAGACTAAGCCTTACATAAATTCTAACCGAGCCTTAACTAAGTTGTGTTTGAATTAATGTAAACAACCTTGACTCTATCCATTCAGCAAAGGAAAAGGTAGAAACTTGTACATTTTTCTTTTATACACATTAAGTGTTTAAATAAAAATTTATTAGACATACAAAGTGTTTCCATGATCTACTGGAGTGAAACAAACTTCTCTAAAACTTAATGGCTTAAAACCAAAACAATTTTTTCAGTTATCTGGGTTGGCTGGCTCTGCTAGTCGA